TTGTCCCGTTAAGACTCAGGAGGGTAACACAGCTGGTGGCTGTATTTTGGATGCGAGGAGTGCCATGGGATCTGTTGGCTAGTGCTTAACTCTCCCACTTCCTTTACTCTGAAAGGCAGAGACTTCCATTGGGGGGTGGCGTTGACGAGGCTGTGTTGTTTCTCCAGGCACGGCCCCTAACCAGGTATCTCCCCATCCGCAAGGAGGATTTTGACTTGAAGATACATATCGAGTCCTCAGGCCACAGTGTGGACACCTGCTACCATGTCATCCTGACTGAGAAGATGTGCAAGGGCTATCTGGTCAAGATGGGTGGCAAGATCAAGTCCTGGAAGAAGCGTTGGTTTGTCTTTGATCGCATGAAACGCACAGTCTCCTACTATGTTGGTAAGAGCACCCCACTGCTGCTCTACTGCCCTCCAGTCTCTTTACCGTGGCTGGGAACTTTTCCTATCAGAGCACATTGGCCTGCAATTGATTTTTTTTTTCTGTGAGTCACACATAGGCCACAGAGGAATGCACTGAGGCACAGGGTTGGGGCTAAGAAATAGGAGATATTTTACTTTTTTTTCTGAGGCCTGAGACTTCAAACCCCAGGTTCAAACTCAAATACACCTGGAGGGAGCTGGATCCCACCTTCCTCTCCAGCAGGGCTGGCTGCTTGCAATGTTTAGAAAAGGAAGAAGGGGGCTTTCCCAGTGTCTCTCCCTAGGTTCTTTCACACACACACACCAACAGCCGCACCACCATCTTTGCTTTCCCTCTTTCCCCATAGACAGCATCAGCTCACTTGCTTTCTCCCCCAAACCAGACCTTCCCTTCCCCCCCCACGCTACTCCCTGCCTTAGTCTGCCCCCCACAACTTTGCCCCTACCCTCCTGAACCACTTCTCCCTTTTCCCCAACCAGCCCTGTACTCTCGAAACCAACCCAAGCCACTTACCCCGTGTTGCCCCCTCTCTGCCTTCCTGCTTCCTCTTCCCTGTCCCTGTGGCTGGCAGCAGAGCAGACCCAGGGCTCACTGGAGCCCATGCTCAATCCCAGGGCTCCTGTGGTCCCTTCTCATCTGTCAGTTATAGTTTGATGGGCCTCTTCCTCCAGACCCTCTAGTTCCATGGTCACCAACAGGTCGATCGCAAGCGACTGGTCGATCGCGAGGCCTCGACCAGTCGCTCGCGAGGCATCCTGTCTGCCCCGCCCCCATTTCCCTCCCACCCCCGAGAAGCCCCTCTACCTACCAAATGGAGGTAGTGTTGGCTTCCCGGGATGAACAGAAGTCCCGTAGCTTAGCACCACTTCCAGCGATTCCGGAAGTGCGCTAGCTGCTCTGTCGGGTGTACTGTGGGAGGGAGCATCGGCTCCCTGCACCACACAAGAGGAGTGAGTCAGCCCCGAGGGAGGCGCGCGTGGGGTTTCCCTGCGCCGGGGGGGTCAGCCCCAGGGCAGGTGCGCCCGGGACTTCCCTGTGTGGGGGGAGAGGGTTTGCCCTGGGGCAGGCGCGCGCGCAGGGCTTCCCTGGGTGGGGGGGGGGAGTGTCGGCCCCGGGACAGGTGTGCGTCAGGTTTCCCTGTGCCGGGGGTGTTGGCCCCGGGGCAGGCGCGTGCAGGGTTTTCCTGTGCCAGGGAGGTCGGGCCTGGAGGTGGCACGCGTTGGCTTCCCTCTCCGGGGGGGGAATCCTGGGAGGAGGCAGATGCAGAGGACTCTCTGCCTCCACTGGCAACCCGCCCTCTGTCCCCAGACACAGAACTCTGTCCCTATTCCCGTCCTCACTCCCCAAACTCTGTCCCCATCCCCTGCTGCAGAACCCTGTTCCCTCTCCCCTGCCCCCAGCCGCAGAACTCTGTCCCCACAAAATGTATAATTCTAAATGCTTCATTTTAGATATAAATAGCATGAATAAAAGCCAGACCATTTATTTCATAACTCTAAACACATGATTTTAAATTTATATATCGCATAATTTAAAAATAAACTGTTTATCAGAGTGTGTAAGTAAGGGCTGGGGATAGCAAGTGATAGACAGGAGGAGAAAAGAGAGGACAGGGCTTCAAGGAAGGGGTGGGGTGATAGAGCTTTGCCTGTTCTGAGATTTAAAAAGTGATCCTGGGTGTAAAAAGGTTGGAGACCACTGCTCTAGTTGGACAGGTCCCTGGCTGCTGCTGGGGCTTGGCATTGTCTTCCCCCACCCTCTGCCTGTGGCCCTGTCAGTGAATACAACAAAACTGGAGACAGCAGCCTCCCTTTTCCCCTCAGCACCCCATGTCCTTATTATTCCCCTTTGCCCTAGAGCTGGGGAACCTACAGGTAGGATGAAATTTAGGCAACAGGCTTAATCTAGCCCCCCAAGCCATAGGTTCCCCACCGCTGTTCTATACAAACACCCCACTCAATCCCCACCAAAGATATATGTAACCCTTTAACCCTCAAAGGATTCACTGACAAGGTGTCTCAAATCTCTCCCCTGCTGTGCTGCTCTGTGGCTACCAGAATTCCTGGCTCTAGCTAATCCACATGGTGTATGGCTCAATTCCAGCTGGGAGCCAGCCCCCGCCCCTTTGTCTTGCTGCCTTCTTTCCTGTGAAGCCTCGTGCTGATGGTGCTTTGCCTTTCTCTCCCATGCAGATAAACATGAAACAAAGCTCAAGGGAGTGATCTATTTCCAAGCCATAGAGGAGGTTTATTATGACCATCTCCGCAGTGCTGCTAAGGTGAGGCCTGGGCTGCTGCCCTGGGTGTAGGTTGGGGGAGGAGATGGGCTGTCCGGTTAATGTTGTCCCAGGAAGAAATGTGTGTGTGTGGGGGGGGTGTCTTAAAGTGCAATGGTGCAAGCTCAGCTTTGCAGCACTGGGCCGCAAGCAGCAGCATTATTGGGGCAGCCGGGCCCCTTGGTGAAACCCACTTGTATCACAGTGCCCACGCAATGTCAGCTTGCACAGAGTATGTGGGAGCCACAGATGTTCCACAAGCCCCCGAATAATCCCATTGCAGCCAGTAGTGCCAGGGCCCTTGGCACCAGAAGATGCACTAGTTTGGGCCAGCTGGACAGTGCAGACCCTGTGCCATAGTGCCAGGGAGGGGTGGGAGTAGTTATGGCCAAGGCTTCGTGGAGTTCAAACGAGGTTGTGGCCAGTGGCCAAGATTCCAGATATGGCCTTAGTGCTGCCCAATGTCCACTGATCTCAGTGTTGCTCTCTTCACCCAGGGGTGGGTGACTTTGCCTCTGCCAGAGGTGCTTTTGGCTTGGGAATTGGACATGTCTGGGAAGAACCGTTACCGCCACCACCCGCACAGCTGAGTCTCGTAGTACAGTCTGAGCCACCTCCCTCAGCTGCAGGGGGATCTCCAGCAAGACTCACTGTCTGTCTGTCTGCTGGGAGATACAGATCCAGAATGGTGGGGGCTGAATGCCTGATAAACAGTTTGAGGCCAGCACTTGATGTAGGTTGGGGGAGGCGATGGACTGTCTGGTTAATGTTGCATGTCCCTGGCCATTGCAGAGTCTTGGTCCTCCAGGAATAAGGGGGGAAACAGGCCCTCTGGGACCTTGTTTCCCGCAGTTTTTCCCAGAGCACTGCTCCGACTGAAGACCTCTGCATGCAGGAGCCTATCCTCCGAAATACTGCTGCATGGTGTAATCAGCATCTGAACCTAGGGCAGGCTGATCTCTCTGTCTATTTCTCTCTCCCACCTCCCCTTCCTATCCAGAAAGGACTTTTCAACTTCAGCCTAGCAAATGTATGTATCCCGCCCTCTGGGCTCTGCAGTGCCAACCGCTAACCCCAGGCTTACAATGGCTTCCCATTAACCCTTTGTTGCCAGGTGTGCTCTAACCCACCTTGAGTTGATACTAATAGCATACCCCTCAGGCTGCCAGTCCTAAGATCAGGGGATCCAGCAGTTCAGCCAGAATCATTTTTTTTCCTTCAGAAAGCAGGGTGCACTCAGCTGCCTGTCTCACCAACCTAACCACACCAGGCCCCCTTCCCTAATTTTCAACGCAAGCCCCTCTTTTGGGGGGATGCCTTGAGGCAATAAAGTGTTTGAAGCTGCAAGTGCCTTTGGCTTATGGTGTCCCTAACCTCGTTTGTCGGAGGGTGGAGATGGATGGTAGGAGAGAGCTCGCTTGATCATTACTTGTTCGGTTCACAGGATACAAGGCTGGATGGACCTTTGGTCTGACCCAGTCTGGCCATTCTTATGTTCTTAGCAGGGGTGAAGGCCATGCCCTTCCTATCCTTGGAGCCTTGCAGCAGCTAGCAATGCTCCCATCAGCACTGAATAAGCTGCAAGGCCCCAACCCATGAGATACACAGGAGCTGGTGCCCTCTCGCCATAAATATAGCTGAGTTGTGGGACTCCCTGTTACTGGACAAGCAAGGGCCAAATTTGGTGCATTACCCGAGAGGAGAAATTTCTTAATTTAAAACCAAGGTTGTGAAAGCTGCTAGGGGCAGAGCAGTGACGCAGGGCTGCTCTGTGCTCTCTGTGCATCCAGGAGCCAGCAAATGTGAGGCCCATTATAGTTTTGCATACTGGATTTAAAATTAATTAACTTGTGTGGAAATCTAGCTCCCAGTGCACACCTCTGAATCTCAGCAGCCTTCCTATGGCAAATTCAAGAGGAATTTCAGTTAGGATCTGCTACAGGGAAATTAATATAGAAGTATCTGAGCAGACATGTGAGGGCTATAGCACAAGCCAGCACAAACATCTGAAGATCATGCAGCTTCCTGTAAGTACAAGAGAACAGTACCAGTGACCCACTGAATGTGAGCAAGCTGTCACGGTTGTTGGGCTGACAGGAGGGCAGGGTGACTCCAGGAGCAGGCATGACAAACTCCCATGCTGCCTGCCAGCTGAGTGGATGGAAAAATCTTGTTGGCCTCTCACAGAATTGGAAAATCCCCTATGCTGCAAAAGCAGAACATCTCTTCACTTTGCACTGAGCTGTAATTCTGTGCTGGCATCATGGGAGGAACCCTTTGCAGTAGTCTTCCCTGGGGCTGCCTATGGCTGCAGTGGGAGGGCCTGGCTGCCTGTGACAGCTTTCTGAATGAGTGACGTTTCAGACATCTCACCCTGCTTAGTGGAGCTGGGTTCAGATTAGGGGTGTCAGCGGTTAACCTAACTGGGGGTATGTCTACACTACCCCGCTAGTTCGAACTAGCGGGGTAATGTATGCATACCGCACTTGCTAATGAAGCCCGGGATTTGAATTTCCCGGGCTTCATTAGCAAGTGCGGTATGCATACATTACCCCGCTAGTTCGAACTAGCGGGGTAATGTATGCATACCGCACTTGCTAATGAAGCCCGGGATTTGAATTTCCCGGGCTTCATTAGCAAGTGCGGTATGCATACATTACCCCGCTAGTTCGAACTAGCGGGGTAATGTATGCATACCGCACTTGCTAATGAAGCCCGGGATTTGAATTTCCCGGGCTTCATTAGCAAGTGCGGTATGCATACATTACCCCGCTAGTTCGAACTAGCGGGGTAGTGTAGACATACCCTGGGTGATGCTTACCAGTTACTGGCTATTCAGAGGCCAATTTGGAGCCGCCCCTGTTCAATGCAGGCAGGGGGCTACTCCAGCCTGGCTGGGCTCACCGCACCAGCTGGGCCTAGCACGCTCAGACAGGGAGGTGCTCCAGCCCAGCTTGGTGGCGTGGTGAGGTAAGCCTGGCCTGAATAGTGCAGCCCATGGTGCAGCAGGCCTGGCCAGGCTGGAGCAGACTCCCACCCATAGGATCCCATTTAAGAGGATAACTAATTAAACATTATTTTAACTAGTTAACGGAATAAACAGGATTTCACTTACCTAGTTCAGATAATCAAGGTCACAAAAGAATCCCGATGTTCAAGCCTGAAGGACAACCATGCAGTACTGTGACCACTCAGACTGAAATATCAGCAGGACTGGCCCCAGGTTTTTATTCTTCTCAACCCAATGCATTAAATTCCATGATGAAGCCCAATGGCCTTTCCCTTCTGTTTGGAGCTACAACTGCAAACATCACACCTGCAGCGTCTGCCTTCTTATCTCTGCCTCATTGCAGAGAGCACAGAAGATCATGGCAGGGCTGAACAGAGAAGACAGCAAAGCCATGGTGGCAGGGAACTCCTATGTTAATCCAGAGGAATATGGACCTTCCCTGCCTAGCCTTGAACAGTATTTCCCCAGCTCCAGCAGACAGGACTGGGGAGGTGGACAATAAGAACTGACTGCTGGAAGGAGAATGCGCTCTCACTTAAGAGTCCAAAGAAGGCAAGTCAGAGAGAGGCAAAAACTTGAACCCAGAGTTTCACTACAGCCTGCCTAGGCCCCAGGGCTCATCAGAATGGGCTGTACTTTAACCTTCAGGTCCATGTACTGTCCTACCCTCAGGGCTGCCTTGGTGGACTTCCAGCTGACTGATCAAACCAGCTGCCTGGACAGTGTTATGGGGGAGTCAATGCAAATGCCTGGTGTGATACATTTATCCCTGAGGAGCCTGGAGTCTCTGTAGGGCTATGCCTTGGGTGGACTTGCTGGACAGAGCTCACGGATGAGGCAGGAGAGCTGCAGGGCCAGAAGTCCAGCTGAAGAAGGCAGACACACAGTGTGGCTTACATTAGCAGGAGAGAGAGTCTCACACAGGGAGGGGGTTCCTCCTAGAACCCATTCCAAAGCGGGGGCCATAGCACTGGTCCTGTGGAGCCGTGATCTGTTTACCTAGCAGTTATGATGCTCACCAGCTTCTTCTTTGAGTGTTTATATGTATTGCAATTGAGGTATGTGCATGCTGTGTCCACGACTGCTGGAAAATTTTCCCCTAGCTGCTACCCGTGGGGTCAGCTGTGAAGCCTCTTGGCGTGGTGCTGGTGTGACACTATGTGATCCCGCTGACCCAACCACTTCTCAGTTCCTTCTAAACGCCAGTGACAGCTGATGGAATTGTTGCTCTCTTGCTTTGCAAGTGCCTCGTTGTTCCCATGGTGGGCACCTAGAGGCCCTGTGTAAATAGTAGTTGTTAAGTTAGAGTTAGCAGTGGGAGGTGAAGGGGATTTCCCCTTCATGCCTTTGTTCCCTTTGGGGCCTGGCGCATGCCAGAGTCCCAGAGCTTCAAATCCTGCAGTCTGTGCCTATGAGCAAGCCCCACAGCTTGTTGTCTCTGATGCCTAAGGGAAGCCCACCAAGCTGACAAGGGCAAAGCCTTCAAACCATGCATCAGAAAGGAGCGGAACTTTCTCTTGAAGCAGCTCTTCATAGAATCTGCTCTGCAACTTCAGCCGCAGGAACTGGCACAAAGTGTCTCAGTGCACAGCAAGCCCCAATCAGTTCTGAAACTGGCACAGAAAAAGGGCCTTTTCTGCGCTGTCTCTTCCCTGTGGAGTCTGTCTGGCACTGTTCTCACTCCTCAACATGACCTTCCAAAGCAGCCAAGTCCTTGGTGTCAGCACGTCCAGTACTGACTGCTCCCTACACACCTCCAGCAATGGCCAGCCTTGACGGCTCCAGGACATGCAGAACTGAACTGTCATACCCTTCCTGTGCACTTAGCCCCATCCTTTTGGACTCCCCAAGGGGTGAATCATTGGTGATGGGCCCATCCTTCATGCCAGATACCTTCGAGGTTGCTGAGGGTCTAACTGAGATGATGCAGTCCCCATTACAGGAAAAATTCTCCACTTCCCACCAGCCCTACATGGAGGAAACCGACTATTCC